CTATGGACGTTGCCCGTGGGGTTTTACAAGGATCTGTGCTTGGCCCGCGACTTTTCTCAACATTCATAAACGAAAGGCAGTGGGGCCAAAATCATTACTTTTTGCAAATGACGCCAAAATTTGGAATACAATAACGCAACCAGCGGGCTCACTGGCACTCCAGGAAATGTTGAAAGGAGCTCATCTGTGGTCCAATATGAACGATACTGAATTCAATGTGCCAAAGTGTAAGATTCTATCTGTACGACACAACGGGTGATCTTCGTATTTCCTCGGAAATAGACAACTGCCACACGCCGCAAGTGAGAAGAACCTGGGCATCATCATTCAAGAAAACTTAAGCTGCTCACTCAACTGCACCAAGGTGTCGAACGCAGCTGTAAAGAATGCCGGTTTACTTAAGCGGGTCTTTGGCCGGTTTGAGTCAGCGCTTACCCCCGTCTACTGTCAGCAAACATTCGCCCACTCACAGAGTATGCTATTCAGGCATGGAATCCATGGCTACAACGTGATTGCAAAATGCTGGAGCGTCCACAAAGGATGGCCACCAAAATGGTCAGCGGGTTGAATTGGTGTACATACGCAGAGAGATTGAAGTCACTGGGTTTATATTCCAATCACTACGGGCGCATCAGAGGAGATATGATTGTGGTATACCAAATAATGCAAACCCAAGCCACCTGTGTCACCCGCTTCTGAAATTACCACCCAACGTTCATCTTAGAGGACATCCATTCAAACTAGTGGTCGCAAAATGCCGCTTGGAATGCCGGTGTCAGTCATTTGCAGTCAGAGTGTGTCCGATCTGGAACTCTCTCCCATCCTACGTCGTCTGTGCTCCAAGTATCGGATCTTTCAAACTGAGACTCGATGAAACATTAGCACACCTTACATTTCAACATAAGTGAAGCTGCGTGCAGCAGTGAAAGAAGCTCGTATCACGTTACACTTTGCACAAGGAATTGTATGTATCACTGCTTTTAACCACCACAGGAACATATGGGACGAGAAAAGAATGAGAATGTAAGTTATTCCCATTATAAATCTTTGATCTTTGACTCACTTGAAGACCTGCGTCCACCAATTAATGAAGTCACAGGTACTGGTGAGTAGTGATGTGCAATGATTGATAGGAAGTGACCATCCTTCAGAATTAACTTTCACACCCCTAGTAAGATTTTTCTCTCCTACACACACTTTGGCATGGCGCATATTCGGAATATTTATGCATTCCATACGCAAATCATGTTAAGCCTTGATTTAGCGAATTTTTATGCAGCCAGTTCCCTTCAATAATTTCACGAGAGCAAGAAGAAGCATCATGCTCACAGGATATGTTGAATTCAACTGTGTGCATACAATCAGATCACGTTTGGTTAAAAGACTGACAGGTTTAGCAAAATGCAAACAAAGAATAAAAAATTAGTGACCCTTAAAATTGGACGCATAATCATTCTCAGGTCTGAAAAGAAGGAGGGTTTAGGTTTGAAACCTGATTGGGTTGAGAAACGATTTATTTTTCATAGGGTTTCAACGAATTTTATAATGTAGAAAAGGCTTTTGGTCGAGTGTATGCTGCGGCAGTTCGACCAGTTCTGCTATACGGTGCAGAAACCTGGCCATTAGGAAAACAGGATAAAGATAGACTATCCGTGTTTGCACACCGCTGTCTACGCAGCATTGCACGAATCCGGTGGGGTAGCCGCACGACCAATGCTGAGGTTAGGGGCAGAGTTTTGGGTATCCGCGGTCGCCCACTGGAGCAATTAGTCGATCTCCATAGATTACGTTGGTTGGGGTGTGTGATGCGTATATCACCAAATTGGTTGTCACG